TTTAAACTTTATTTAAAACTAAATTATAATAGCATTCGTGCAATACATATACAGCATAGGACTGATAAAAATGTAAACTCATACAAACATGGCCTTACAAACATTTCATCTTTTTTTAAACCTTATTCATGTACTTAAAATTATCCTAAGCTGCAGAAATGATATGGTAGAGAAGTTTCCATTGAAAAGTAATGAAGTGAGACTAAACCTGAACAATTTAAATGCAAGTTCTTCAGTACTGCCTTACCTTTTTTCCCTTTTACTGCCAATACACTACAGACTGCTTGTCTAGATTTTTTTCCTTACAGACACTATTATTTTTCTGTATGATCAATATCTAGATGAAATACCAAAATAAGTATGTTTTCCCTGGTTAATATCAAAATATATCCCTTGGCCATAAACATGAATCTACCTACATACCTTTACCCAAGTGAATAAGTTGTCAAAACTTAAAGTTCAAAATTAGTTTAACTTTGTTGCAAAAGTATATCCTGACTCCTCCCTTCCCTCTTCAGAGCAGTCCTTCAACTCCAGGAAGAAATGACTCACACAGGGTCACTCAGTTGATCAATGGAAGTTCAGATACCTCCAGAACAGAATTCTTTGACACAGTGCTGTTCCCTAAAAAATAGTGCATTTCTGAACACAGCTGTCACAGCAAACAGTATGACCTAAGGAACTTCATCAGTTCCCACAGAAATATTTACATAGCTGGGTTTGTAGCAGTTATTGGTAGTGCAACAGGAAGAACCTTCAGTTCTGTGCATCATACCTCCAAGAAAATTAATGAAACACAGTGAAATGGGATTAAAATTAGAGTTCAAAGACATAATACAAGAAAGTTTAGTGCTGTATAATATGTTTGAAAATCAGGGGTATCATAAATGACAATAGAGGAACAGTTCAATGAATCAATAGAGTGCTGTGGAAATGTAAGAATAATTTTTCAACAAGCATTTGAGGGCATGTAAAGACGGTTACAGGCTTCCTAGGTGGCTCAGTGGTAAAGACTCCACCTGCCAATGAAGGAGACCTGGGTTCATCTTCCCTGGGAAGGGAAGGTCCCCTGGAGAAGGAAATGGCAGCCTACTCCAGTAGTCCTGCCTGGGGAACCCCATGGACAGAGGAGACTGGCAGGCTGTAGTCCATGATACCACAAAAAAGTTGGACACGACTTGGTGACTAAACCAGCGCCTGTTCATCCTTTGTTCAACAAAGGATGCATGTGGGATCTGAACCTTTGTTCTGTGGAAACATGGCAGGTCAAGTGTGGCTTCCAGGGTGGGCTTTAAGAGACCTTGTAACTTTTATGATCGCAGAATGCTTGCTCCTAGAATCCAGCCACCCTCTACGAAGCTCAAGCTGTGGTATAGAATGGGGACAGCCACATGGAGAGAGATTTTAGAAAGTGAGAGGGCATTTTGGATGCTCAGACCCCAGTGGATGCCGCCTAGAGTAGATGAACTGCCCACCTGAGCCCAAGCCAATTTATAGAACCATTAGAAATAATAAGTTGTGAGTTTGGGGCCACTGTGTTTTGGCGTGGCTTGTTTTGTAGCAATAGGTGACTGAAAAGGTGGAAAAAATAAAAAACCCTGTCAATACAAATGCTTAGAAATGAGAGAGAAGCTGTAACAAAAATATTTTTAAAATACATAGCTCAGGAACATGAAAGCTATCGAAAATGAAGAGGAATTTGAGGCCAAAGCAATAATCTGGTGAGCTGAAGATGCAGCTGCCCCCAGGACTACAGTTTGGTTGTTGTGCAGATATAGACTCTAAGGCTAGAAGGTTGGGTTTTAGTGCCCACCTGGACCTTGGGCCCCTCAAGGTAAGGAGCTGAAGTTGACGCCTCTACATAAATAAATCTGGGGTTCCCAGCTCAGGATGTTAACAAGGAGACTTGAGCTGGCCTAGGGTGCTCCATGGGGAAAGAAAAGGCCCCCATGGTAAGCAGAAAACATATATACACCATGTGTTTGAAACACAAATTTATGCCATCTAAAGTCATACAGTAATATACAAACCAAGAAGTTAATTTATACTTGATTATAGACCATTGTGACCCCCTGGGAGAGTTAGCAAATGGAAATGTAATGTAAAACTATCCTTCAGAATTCCTACTGAAGAAATAAATGTCCAAAGATGAGTTTATAAAACACACAAGGAAATGATCTATTATGAATGAGAGTTGATGGGTAAAATTGCAGGATGATTAGCACTACAAGAACTTGAGGGTAATGTTGAAGATTTCATAAAATAAATACCTTTAAGTGACAAAAGATAACAAGTAGACATAAAACTGTAAGAAAGCAGCAAACTATGAAAAATTAACAATTTGGAAAAAGCAAGTCAGTGTATAGCAATATAAATGACACATGAGGAGACATAAGGAATAGAAGCAGAATAACTAAGACATTCTTTGTTCAGCAAGAGCTCTAAAAGGCGATGTTGATAGTAGTTGAAAGATACTGCCAAGGATTTATCAGAATTGATGAAAGTCAAAAAATTTGAGTTAAAAGAAGAATCATAAGTTACAAGAAGGGCATATTTAAAATAAATTCACAAGATTTTCCTGGTGGTCCAGTGGCTAAGACCCTGCACTCCCAATGCAGGGGGGCCCAGGTTCCATCCCTGGTCAGGGGACTAGATCCCACAGGCCTCCCACATGCTGCAACCATGAGTTCGCATGCTGCCACTAAAGACCCCACATGCCACAATTAAAAGATACCACACAACCACAGCAAAAATGGAAGGTCCTGCATGCTGCAACTAAGATCCGGCACAAACAAAACAAAATAAATTCACACTTATGCACTGCAGAACACCAACAAAGAGGAAAAATTAAAACAATTAAAGACTTAACCACAAATAAATAAGTATTGCAAGGACAGCAACTTCCCAAAATCAAGAATTTAGGTCAGAAGATAATGGAATAATTCTAAGTCTTCAAAACATGGATGAAAATAATGGTCAACATAGAGTTCTTCACTAGTTTCAGTATCATTTAAGAAAATGACATTTGTCATTTTCAGGAAAAAAGAAAGATTTGCTACTCACATACCTTTTCTCTAAAAGCTACCAAAGGAGGCACAACAGTAAAAAGAAAATTGAGCCCAGAGAAAAGAGTATGGTGTAGGAAACAATTGCAAGCCAAGGGACTGGTAAACACAAATGAAAACCATAATATATATTGATTACAAATTTGTAACAATATTAATGAATGCTTAAAAGTCTACAATAATTATGTATATTTTATAATACACCACATAACACTACATACTTCCTTGTGTCTGTTTGTAAATATATATGTGTGTAAAAGTATAAAAACATGCATGTTGTGGATTCACACTAATATCAGGATTCAGTAATCTCTGGGAAGTAAGAGATAATATACAGATAAATCAAAACTATCTGTAAATATTTTAATTTATCCATAATGTTTTATTTTTTTAAATAAAGATTGCAAGGAAATTTGAAAAATATTAACGCTAAATCTGAATGGTAAATATATTCTAGATATATTTACTGTTGTCCAATTTCCTTCATGTTTACAAGTTTCATTATTAAAATTAATGGATTTATATATAGGTAGAAAGTGATAGAAAATATAAGAAAATACTGTGTAACATTAATTACAGAAGTTAGTATCAATAGAAGGATCATGCAGGATTCTTTGTCTACTTTTGGACACTTTAAACATTATCTACAATGAGCACTATACTGCTTTTCCATACACATAAACACCTCAAAGAGTATTTTTTTTAAAGATTCATAGGACACTAGAACAGACAGCTCAGAGATCATCTCCAATTCATCCTTGATGAGATATAATTTATGGTAACAGAAATCAGATCAATTGTTCGTTCCAGCAAGAGTAGGGTCCGTCACATCTGAGTCAGTTATAATGAGGTGGATGAAACTGGAGCCTATTATACAAAGTGAAGTAAATCAGAAAGAAAAAAAAACACCAATACAGTGTATTAACGCATATATATGGAATTTAGAAGGACAGTAACGACAACCCTATATGCAAGACAGCAAAAGAGACAGATACAAAGAACAGACTTTTGGACTCTGTGGGAGAAGGCAAGGGTGGGATGGTTTGAGAGAATAGCATTGAATCATGTATATTGCCACATGTGAAATAGATGACCAGTCCAGGTTCGATGCATGAAATGGGGTACTCACAGCTGGTGCACTGGGACAACCCTGAAGGATGGGATGGGGAGGGAGGGGGGAGGGGGTTTCGGGATGGGGTTGGGGGGGGCACATGTACACCCGTGGCTGATTCATGTCAATGTATGGCAAAAACCACCACAATATTGTAAAGTAATTAGCCTCCAATTAAAATAAATAATTTTTTTAAAAAAAGAGTAGGGTTCATAATTGAAATGAGAACTTTCTGGGGGCAATGGGAGTGTTTTATGTCTTGGTAGTGGTGTAGGTTAAATGCATTTTTCAAAAGACTGCAGTATACTTGTGATCTATGCATTTCCCTATAGGTTCTTCTAAAGCAGGATATCTTAGAGTTCTTTCACAAGTGGAGAACACAGCAGATGCCTACTTAATAAGTACGATCTCAAAGCAGTGGGATGACCATTCATGTCTGTTGCAAGCCAGCAGCATGTACATTTTTACTGTTTCTATGTTGAGCCCTGGAAACTGGAACATGTGATAGGGCCAAGAAGAGAGGACCTATGGCTTCAAGATTCGGTGTTTCAAATAATACTTTGAAGACTTGAGTTAATCTCCCCCATCAGCAAGTTGTCCATGTTGCGTACCTTTATTAGCAATGATTTATATGGCCTTTGAAGATTCTCCATGCTACCAATGACAGCTCAGATATCCCAAGCTCTCTGATAATTAAACATCTCTCTAGGCACATTTAAAGGGTGAGAAACATTTAAATGGCTGTATTTAAAAGATGCTCCTTGCTCAACCTGTGAAGACGTCTTTAACAAATGGCTTCCTCTTGTCTTCGGCAGGGGCACGCGATGAAGCAGAGGGACAGTGCGATGGCAGTGAATGACAGTCCTCAAGAGTGCAGGCCTCCTGGCCCTGGGGAGCTGCAGGAAGACGCCGGCGCGCACATGCACTGTGCAGGCGGGTGGGGGTGGGGGGAGGCGAGTCCCACCGAAGGACGGGGAACCCTTTGCTCTCATTTCTACAGCTGCATTTTGTTCTGTTTACCCGCAGAAAGGAAAAAAAAAGAAAAAAAAGAAAAAAAAAGTTTTCTTTCATTTGGTGGGGGACTCCACGTGAATGCAACTTTCAGGCGCTATCCCTGTCGTTTCTGTCTTGTCTTCTCCCAAGTCCGCCCCGGGGTCGCAGTGGCACGTGTAACACACAAGTGTGTTCTGGTCCCTGTCTGCTTTCTCGGTTATTTCACAAAGCTGGTTGGTACAGTGATTTCTTCCAAAAAAAAAGAGAGAAGGAAGGTGACTGATAAGGTGCATTTGAGGAAACATCAAACCCTCTATCAGTAGAATCCACAGAGGAAGGAGGCAGGACAGAAAATGGGCAAAACCCTCAGAAATCGCTTGGAAAAAGGTCAGGATGATTGGTTGCAAATGGTCTTTTATTCAGGGATTCCCAAGGTCCAACACTGTTCCATGAGGCTCTAAGGAGGAATATGAAGGCAGGGTTTAATCCGGAGCAGACCACAGAGGCATAAGAAGGAAGGCGGATGGACCCTGGTCTCCTCCTCGGTAACAAGACGGCAAGTGCAGTTCCTGTCTGACTTTCAGCAGAGCTCACCTGGTTCAGGAAGACTTTAACTGTGTCTTTCCCTCAGGGAGAAGTGATTCCTTGGGACACAATTCTAAGGGCACTTTCCTAGGCGTTTTAGTTGAGAGGGAGACTGCTGCATTTAGAATCCAAAAAGTTTTCCTTGAAATCTTCATACACCTGCTTTCCATAAAAGGACATCTTGTTTTTACCCAAGGACTGATGACCCAGAGAGCAGATTCTCGTTTGAATTTGGAGGCAATTAGAGGCCTTGCTTGCACTTCTGGCTCCCTGGTTTGCATTTAAATGGTGCGCTTTGTTCACGCCAAGTTCAAGACTAATTTGATGGCCGTCCTCTCCCCCAGCAGGCATGGAAGGGAAGCAGCGGGACTAATAAGCCAAGATGTCCCTGGTCCAGTGGGCACAAGGGATTAAGGGTGTGGGAAGACGTCAGAGGTTGTCACAAGCATCGTCCCAGAGCCAACAGGATAGAACCGTCAGAAGGCAAGAAGCCTGCCTCCCCGGCTCTAAGACCAGTCTGCTCGTCCCTGTGGAAACTCCCATTATTTCTTGCATATCTTTTTTTTTTCCCCTGGTTTTTGTTTTTTAATTTTTTACACCGGTGTATTGGTTTCTGCCGTACAACAGCAGGAATCAGCCGTAATTACACATATACCCACTCCCTCTGGCGCCCCATCCCCTGCCCCCATCCAGCCATCTGGGTCATCACAGAGGGCCAGACTGAGCTCGCTCTACCATGCCTCCCTTCAGCTGTCCGTTTTGCACACAGTACTGTATATATGTTGATGACACTTTCTCCATTTGTCCCCCCCCTCCATCTTCTTAAACCCATCTTCCTTATGAGGGCTTTAGGGCTTTCCTTATGTAAGTTAACTGCATATTTTTTTCTTAGTAGAGGGAGAAAAGGAATGGATCAAATGGAGCATTTCTACAATAATCAGGGGCTCTGCTTTCTACATATTTCATGGAGGTCTTCAGTTTTGCTCCTTCCTCTAAAGAAAATTTCACTTTCTTGTCTTCCTATGAATTTTGTTTTGGCTTTTCTGAATTTGTTGCCTTATTTGATGGCTTATTTGGTCTCTTGGAATAGTAAGTTGTATTTCTACCTATGTAATATGTTTCAACACCCTCTGTTGTTGTGTTGTTGTTTTTAAAGTGGCTCATCAACCTAGCAGTGACATTTAAGTGACGTCATGATTCTGGAACACAGCTGTTTCCCCTTCTGCCATTATCCCACAGTTTGATACAGAAACTTATATGTGCTCTACTCCCATTAGACACTGCTTTCTAGAAAACCAAGGAAAAGCCTCATTTTAACTAATCCAAGCAATGATGCCACGGGAATACAGACAGCTTCTATATTTCACATCATCTGTATGACTTAGCTGACAGGCGCCATCGTTCTTGTGAAGTGTTGGGTTGGCCAACATGCTCATTCAGGTTTTCCATATGATGTAACAGAAAAACCTGAACGCACTTCTTGGCCAACCTAGCACTTGACAAGAGCAATCTACCAGGAGGACATATTTCCTGTGACTCCCAAGCGTGAGTGCTACTCACGCTGAGTGATGAGTAACAGTGGAAAACAACATGAGGTGGCAAGAAGGATGGGGATTTTTTTTTTTTTTAATGGACAAAGATCTACTGTCTCTGGCAGGAACAGTAGGGATCAGAAGTATTTCTGTCCTGGTGTTCCTTTTGATGTCAATGACAGCCATTCATTCAGTTTTCAATGTGGGTGGGTATCAATGAGATGAAGGAGTTCTCTGCCTGAAAATTATAGAAAAAGAAAATGGGCTCTGCATCCGGGACACTGAGTGAGGAGTAAAGACCATCAACCCTGCTCCTGAATTGGTTTACACTCCACTTTATGATTAGACTGTGTTTTCATTTTTTCCCTCATTCTGCTTTTGGGTTGCTGTTTGGCAAGAAGATATTATGCTTTAGAACAAACAATGAAGCAAATTTCTATTTCAATAGTAAAACATTAAAAATCGAGCTTTTGGCCACATGGAAGATACCCACAACGCAGGAAGCCTTTATCTCACTGGTGCTGTCATTGTACAAACTGTGCAATGGAAAATTTGCCAGACTGATTCATTCTCCGAACATGAATTCTGGACGTCAGTTTCCAACCACACTCGAGCCAGGCTAGATGACTCAAGGGTTTATAGGAAGGAGAGTAGGAGGCAAATAGCCCCTTATTTAAGTCCTGTTTGCATACAGAGGATGGAGGTGGGCTTTCCACATAATAGCTCTATTTAAAAAGGTACTCATTGTAGGAGAGACAAAGGGTCTGTCCTCTAGCTGGTAACTACTCAAGTGATGGACAAGCCTTCCTTCACAAAAGCTTACAAAGGAGGCATCTGAAACACAGTCTGTGACACTGGGTCACCTATTAGTCATCGCAGCTAATTGTACATCTTTCTATGAAACACTGAAAAGCCTCTTTGTGAATTAATACAGCTCTGCTTGATGCACTCGATTTGAAATGACATTTTTCTGTATGTGGTGCATGTCAGCTTTGCTTTGAAAAATAACAAAGTTAGCAGAATATGTTCAATATATTTTCTTGGGGAATAGGGTTTTTATCATACGATTCATTAAGGATTTGCCTTACCCTGACATTTGTGATATAAAGGAAAATCAGAAAAAAAGTAATTTTCTTGATCAAGATATGTTTTTACTTAATGCAAATAAATGTAGTCTGTTGCTTGCAAGGAAAAAAAAAATGTCTTCTGAGATCTGGTATAAACTGCTAAATAGAATAATACGTGCCTCTTTTGTTAAACCAGCATTTCAGCACTGGACTGCTTCTGAATATGTTTGTTTCTTTTCATCCGTGCCATACACTAAGAAACTTAAACAACTGTTGCCTTCATGCTATATTTGTTAGAGCAGAATATGAATAAAATTTGTTTGAGAGGATAAGGTGGAATTATCCGTGTTTTGTGAAATTTGTTCCTTGACTGTGAGCAGTTAATGACTCAAAACTGTTCATTTAACAGCAGATATCTGGTTGCAAATATGTGTATTTAAAATTGCCCCTGCAAGTCAACTGTAACTTTCCCTACTAAGACTGATCAATGGTGTGCCCATGTTTTTCAAAATTAAACTATACAGAAGTTTGAACAGACATAAAACCTAATGTATAATTTTTCTCTGAATGCTAAGTAGTTAATTACCCTAGCAACAGCCCCTGAGGTGAAGATATACGTTGTTGAGATAAAGCCAATGGTTCCATGAACACTGGCCCATCCTATAGAACCCATCGTCCACTACTGAAATTCTTTTTGAGCATCTTTTATGTCACATAGCCAGCCTGGCTATATGACAGCTGAAGCCACTGTCCTCCTCAGCCTCCTGTTGACAGAATTATGACTGAATTACAAAATTGTTAAGACACTGGCAATGGAGCTGCAAAAACCGCTGTGGGAGAAACTCAAAGTTCTTTTGAAAATGGAAATCTGTATTCCATCACGTTTAATTCCCTCTATCTCCTACAGAGGAAGAGCTATCAAGTGTATTGTTCTAGAAGGCAATAAAGAAGGTCGGCCCTTTTATCCAACAAAGCCAGAAGCTTAATAGTTAAAGCAGAATCAGGTTTTTTAACCTGCTGTACCAAAGGGACATTTTTTCAGCAATAAACGAGTCTGATGAGAAGAAAATTGTTGGCAGGACAGTCTTCTCTCACAATGGGCAGCCCCAACACAAATACTTCAAAGTGGCAGACAGATGATTTGACATGATGCTAGCTTGGCCAAATACAGTTTGTTGTGTTTTTAAATCTACATTCAATTTTTCATCTCTTTGCCCATCACTTATGTTTCTCCCCCACTTCTGCCCCTTTACCTTTAAAAGATGTCACTGAAGAGCATTTAATTAAGTTTAGTTTAAGTTTAGTCTCGAGACTAAAAGGGTAATGATACTCGTTTATACTGTTTTGCCAGAATTCCGGCCCAGCGTGGGGCTTTGAGAAACAAATACCTCCGTTCCTTGGTTTGAAAGCTAGAAATACTAATGCATCCCCTGAACTCTCTTCCAAATTTAAACATGAATAAAATGCCAAGATATTCTACTTTGCCATTGAGAAATGCACTTTGTAAATTGTTTGCCTTATATTCTACTTGAAACTGTAGGCAAATATCCCTTTTTCCAGCTCAAGACTCTCCACCAAATGAATAAACAGTCCTTACCTTTGAGTAAGAAATATGAAATCCTTTCTACTAAAATCAGATTGATTATATTATTTGCAGTTGAAGATGGAGAAGCTCTATTCAGTGAGCAAAAACAAGACCTGGAGCTGACTGTGGCTCAGATCATCAACTCCTTATGACTGGAAGATCAAACCAATCAATCCTAAAGAAAGTCAACCCTGAATATTCATTGGAAGGACTGATGCTGAAGCAGAAGCTCTAATACTTTGGCCTCCTGATGTGAAGAGATGACTCACTGGAAAAGACTCTGATGCTGGGAAAGATTGAAGGCAAAAGGAGGAGAGGGTGGCAGATGATCAGATGATTAGACAGCATTACCAACTCAATGGATAAGAATTTCAGTAGACTGGGAGATAGTGAAGGACAGGGTACCTGGCATGCTTCATCCACGATGTCCCAAAGAGTCAGACACCACTTAGTAAGTGAACAATGAACAACCTTTGGGTAGGAAATATGAAATCCTTTCTACTGAAGTTGACTTAAATTTTGCCCCTAAGGACCCATGAGGATGAGAGAAAACT